GAAAATTGCTATGAGTCTGATCTAAGTAGTGAGACCCTGTAGACCCTCTACTAAAAAAAAAAAAAAAAAAAAAAAATCTGAAAGAGATTACTTCCCAGGGCAACCCATTAGGGTCTCCCATCTGTAACTTTCTCATATAGGAGTTTTTGTTCCCCAGATAAATATATTCTGCTTTTAACCTCCATTGATTCCCAAAACTCATTCTTCAGTTTTAGAGAACATGAACTCATCCAAGTACCTTTTAGGATGCAGTTTCATGCCCCTATATTACAAGGACGCTGAACAAACATTGTGGTAATGTGGCCAGAGTCCAGCCTGGCTTCCCCCTGCAGCAGCTGGGTTCCTTTCTGGGCACTCACAGGTGAATGGGCACTGTGATCCCAGCCTCTGCGAGGCTGATGTAGGAGGATCACAAGTTTGAGCCCATCCAGGGTAACTTAGTGATTTAGTAAAGTTCTGTCTTAAAATAAATAAATAAAATAAAATAAAGAGGATCAGTATGCAGCTCAGTGCCAAGTCCCTGCATTCAGTCACCAGTACTGGCAAATAAAATGGCATTGGTCATGATTGGGAATCCTTCCTGCACCCTTTTCAGTGATCAGTGCATCTTCCACCAGTCAGGAGAGTGTCTCAGGGCCATTTTCTCTTCAGACATTGCATGGAGAAAGCTGGGCTTCTGTCCCCACTATTGGGAAGGCGGGCTCCCAGCTGATCATTGTGTTAGGACTCAGCTGCTCTAGACACCTTTCCCTCAAGCTCTGTATTTACCTTCCTGTCTCTGCTGAGCCTTAGCTAACCCCTCCCTCATGTTCCCTCGAAAAGGCTCAGGACCTCCGCACAGACTGCACTGGACCTCAGTGCCTTCCCAGGATGAAATCTCCTTCCATATCTTCATCTGACTCATGTTGGGCTTCATCTCTGAGGCTGTGGGCTGTTGAGAAGAAAGCAGGCAGGCTAAGTGAGAGACTGCAGGGCAAAGTGTAGGCTGAGAAGGAAACAGGACTGAGACAGGGGACCAAAGGAGGAAAGGGGGACGGTCATTGGTCTACCCTGGCACCAGGTGGTCTTTACCTTGTTTAGAGACTGCCTGTCTATTCAATGTCAGTGAGAGCCTCCTGCCTACCTACTGTATTTCTCTGAACTCACGCAGCCATCTGTCATTCATTATCAGCTCCATGGGCACAGTGACTCGCAGCTTTCTCTTCCACACCTTGCCGTGCTGGATTGGAGGTGCCCATCACTCTCTGAAGGCAAAACATGCAATGCCACATGGAACCACTGCCTTTAAAAATCCAAGCCAGTTCATATGTGATAAAGCTCTCCTTTCAGACATACTCAGTCAGGAGATTTAGTCTTCTGCAAGGATCACCATCATTATCTAATTCCAGAAAGTGTTTCACACACACAAAAAAAAGCCCATGTCCATTAGCACCCATGCCTCATTTCACCAACACCCAGCCCCTAGCAGTCACTAGCCCACATTCTGTGAATGGAATGGTGCAATACATGGCCTTTAGTGTCTAGTGCCTTGTGCTCAGTATAAAATTTTTCAGAGCCATCTATTCTATACCTTCTATCTGCACTTCTTTTTCATGGCTCAAAAATGTTTCTCACTATACTTTTTTTCTTTTTCTCTGAACCAGGGATTGAACTCAGGACCTTGTGTTTGCCAAGGAAGTGCTTATTCAACTGAGTCATTTCCCCGACTCTCGCTGCACTTATGCTATTTTGTTTACCAATTTTTTGTTTGCTTCTTTGTTTGTATTTAGTACAGGGTCTACAAG